AGATATAGATATAGATATAGATATAGATGGGTACAGAATTTCGTTCCACCACATGTGTGTGTGTGTTGCGAATGACAATAAAACTTCCTTGAATCCTTGAATATACCCAAACAATCCCCCAGGTTGGGAACCACTGGTGCAGACCAGCCMACATGCATCTTAAGGTTTGGGACTGAGGTGGACAAATACAATCCAGGGACCCAGATGATCACTGATTTAGCTCTCTACATGCATGCCCGCGACTCACCATGTCCCTTGGGTGCATGGTGCTGACATGTCACACAGACATCTTTGTTTTCTGCCAGCACGCCTTGTCCTGTCTTCTCCTGCAGCGCCACAACCCCCACGCTCGCCTCCATGTCTCTTCAGACGATGGAAGGGAAAATAGGAATGGAAGAAAAAGTATTGGTATGATGACGTCCTGTACTGCTCCGGCAGCGTCAGATCACGAAACGACACTTGCTCAAGGGCGCTGCTGCCCCAGTAATGTGGACAGGTCAGTGGAGGATCACACCCTCACAAACACCCAGGCAGCATGCTATAACTCTAGGACTGAGTTTTCCATTATTTCTGTGTTTTCTCTTTATTTCTCACTCAGCATGTTCAATACATGCCAGCAGACCTGCACTCCGCTGGTCGCTTATTCTTCTTCTCAACTCCCCACGTGGTCCACTTTCCACCCATCCCCTCTCAGTCCTCGTCTCCCCTTCTGGGCTCTAAAATTAACTCGGGTAAAAAACCTGACACTACAACATGTGCCCCCTGGCAGAACATGTGTCCTCCAGGTTCAGCCTATTAAAACCCGTATAAAAACAAATGTGTTTGTCTGTATTGTGCCTCCACGCTGCTTACAAGCAAACGTGCTCCTGCCACTCACTGCGTTGCTTTGATAAGCTGAAACCAGAGGACTGGCCTGGACCGGGCTCAAAGGTCGAAAAGACACTAACACAAAACAGGAGTTGTTGAAAACCAAACACTGTCATCTGTACTAAGGTGACAAGTCTGGTACAGTATAATTATTTAGAAGTATATTTTTAAAATAATAATCAAAAAGTCAGCTAAATGTTTTCCTTGTGGATGTCAGAAATGCTTAAAAATACCAAAAATGTAAACAAGTAATGTTTTTAAAAAAAAAAAAACAACTCATTAAATAACTGAGCTATCTGAAACAAAAACATTAAGTACCTCATTCTGATGATAYGATACTAGAACAAAAACAGTATCAAGTGTGTAAAGAGGCAGTTATTCAACACCGGCCTAACCTCCAGATAACGTTAAAACAAAGCAGTGTGTGTCGCGTAAAGAAAGAAACGTGGGCATGTGAGATAAGGTCAAGTGCAGTTTAGTTACACCTCAAACACATTACAGCTCACATGTAAAGTGCAATTTGTTGTGTGGTATTTAGGATTTGTTTAGCTGCAGTGGGWTGTTTGTGTGCAGCGACAACATTATGAGTGCAAAAAGAAAGAAAAAAATGTGTAGGTCTTCTGGACGGGTTCTTCTCTAATGAAGACCTACACAATTTTTTTTTTCTTTTTGATTTTTTACCTGGATTACTGAGATGCATCAGGACATTATGAGTGCATTCAGCACCGGTATTATACTATCACAACTGTAGCATTATCTTGTGTTATTAAAAAGGTATTCTGGCTGTTAACTAGCAGGTCTGGTTTCAGAACTCTGGATAGAGACAAAAAACGACAGAAATAAAAAGAAGTGGCATAAATAGGCAT